CATTGGTGAATGCCACAAATTCTCCTAAATCACTCGTACGCACAACTTAAGAACAAATGTGTGCGTACGAACGGTTCTTGCATGAGGCCCAATGAATATTGAATTTTTCACTTACAAAGTGGGTTCCCAATGTCATGTTTTGTTTTCAATATTTGGACGAGTCAGTTTTGTCTACTGTAACAACGAGCAAAGAAAAATATTGGTCTCTTGAGAAACTATTCATAACCTTAATTTGACATTTCCCCTGAAAAACAAATAAAAAGAAAAATTAAGCTATAATAATCACTTCAGTTCTTCTTATCAAGTAATAAAATATTTTATTTTACTTGGACCTTTTTTTAGGCTGCTCATTAAATGTCTGAACAATCAGTTCCTACAGATTAAATCAGATGCTGTGAAGGTGCATTCAGGTGTCACATGTAGTTAGCAGTTATGGGTTAAATGTGTTCTATTTATTTTTTAAATTCATCATAATGAAAACATTATCAGTGGTAAATGTCTTCATGTAGAAACCCTGTTATGTGAGATTTGGAGCTTTCTCTGTTTTGCAGAAATAATGTGAGTAAAGTTGTACATTGTTCCGGCAGAGTGGAGAAACGCTATGTGGAAAAGTACTGGAAAGAGCTGCGTGTTGGAGACTTTATCAGGCTACGGTGTAATGAGATCCTACCTGCCGACGTTCTGCTGCTCAGCTCCAGCGATCCGGACCGCCTGTGTCACATAGAGACCGCCACCCTGGATGGAGAGACCAACCTCAAGCAGAGGCAGGTCGTCCGGAGCTTCTTTGACCTGGTGAGACTCAAACTAATTTYTTTGTAGTGACGGGACGCCATCACACTTATCCGTATCAGAACTTTAAGCTTTGTTAAAGAAAGCTTACCAAAACCTTTTTTATTATGTTCTTTAATTTTGTTTTTATGTTTGACTTTGTTCATTTTATTTTAGTTAAACCTTAAAGACTTTCCACCAAAAATCACCTAGGGCCTCATGCATAAAGGATTGCGCAGCTTTCACACTAAAAGTTGACGTATGGAAAAATTTAGAAAACTGCGC